TGCTTTGTTATGTTAATATGTAGAATCGATTTCGTAAATCGTTCGTCCTATGCAAATAGTATGGAGTAGTATTATTATCCGTTTTGTAAGATTACTACAGGATGTGTTAGTTGTAAGATTAACTCACGATAAAGTCTTGGTATCAAAGTTCTTGTAGTTGTCTTTTGTTTCACCTTCTTATTAGTGCTTCTGTGATAAGTTAGCTTCTTTAATATCTAGCCTGCAACTTGTCTTGTGATCATCCAGCCCTTTACCCTTCCTATTATCAGCAAAGTATGTATTACCGTGTACTCTAGCAGTCTTATTCACTCCCTTCTTAAGAATATGATCGTATTTTCTTTGGTCTTTCCCTGTCTTTCGTTATCTACATAAATTCTCATTGCTTTCTTGTTTATGTGATCACCTCTCCGCTTATATGTCCATATCGCGCTAACGTTTTGCTCCTTTATTTATTAAGAGGTTATGAAAATCTATACATATAATAAAATTGGCGTGTCTGTTTGTAATATCAAAAGAAAAATACCAGATTTTGGGAAGATGATGTATTTGCGTTGGTGATAACGAAAGTCGCATTTAATTTTTTTTTGTCTGTCTATCTGAACGCAGGCCGCGTTTGTTCCGGGTATTCTCTGAAACGGCTGGGTCTCTTCGACCGGACTTTCCCTGAAGGATAGCTGACATAGACGGGCTACTTTTTTATTTTAATATTGCATGGACGTAGTCGCGGGCAACAGCTAGTTGTATAAATATCTTGTAATTATATTTACAATAACTACTTATTTTAGAAAAGTGAAAATTTGTAACTAAATATCTTCAAAACTAACTAACAGATCTCAATGAAATTAGTCGCAGATGTAGAGCATAATCTGAAAGAACACTTAGGCTGATTACTAATTTTCAGTGAGAACGATGTCACGTGTAAAAGCTAGTAAGATAGAGGCAACATAAATCTACAGAGAGCACGCAACGCCGTGTTGGCAAGATGTTTAGTTTTGCCGAAAGATACGATTTATGTATTGTAATGTCTTGCTCATATGAGTTATGTCATCTGACTTGATTTATGTAGACAGCACGTCTGTTATTTTGAAACCTAGAAATTACAACGTAAAACAACAGCATTAAGATGGCTACGACCACAAATATTTTATTCCTGCAAGAAAACTAGACAGTGGAATTAAAATAAATTATAAGAAAATGAGATGGTAACATATGAAATAATGCCTCAAAATAATAGGACATTTTAGATTAAGAGAAGGCGTACACTTCTAACTAAACTATCGGCCTACTGTTGTGCGATTGTCGATTGTTTCGCAGCCAATTCAACTGTTCAGCACATCTAAAAATCGAGTAGTGTGCGCACCTCCATAAACTCATAGGAATCAAAGCGTAAACAGTCGTGCGTAAACAGTTTAATTAGAGGTGGGCGTCCGATCTAGAAATATTTAATTGTAATGCAAAAAAGTTAGATAAACAAATGACAATTGTGTGTAAAGAATCAGAACAAAAGGTTACTTTATTTAAACATCCTGTACAAACCATTATCAAAAATAATATAGCAAAAATACAACAGTATGCTCCAAAAAAACTTAAAGACCGAATCAAACTCCGTAAATCGTTCTCACAATAAACATTGTCCCGATTGTCTCTACAGTGAATGGAACAAGGTTATTTTTATGACTAACATTTTGTTTGAGTGAAACCGTTTCCGTCCATTTTAATCATCAACATCGTTCTGTCCTTTTCCCACTTATGTACACACTCCACTCCTCCACTTAACTCATACGTCATCTCAGTCATCACTCCCTTCTTGATGTCACAGAATTCATCCATCTCTTTCTACGTCTACCTCTACCGGTGTAAGCAGTCATAACTAGCGTTCTTTATGTCTTATCAAAGAAAGTAAGAATCGAATCCAAAACCACTTATAAATGTTTACTCGTAAATATGAAATCTATGTTTTTATACAAAAATTTTGTTCGCCTTAATTCCGCGTTCAGTGTTTTAGAAACCTAATCAGGGAACCTTTTATATTCCAGCACATGTTTTCTCCACAGTCCTTTATAGTCTAATATATCTCAATGCCGCTTTTTATCATGTTTATATCGTATACTGGCAGTTAAGAGCGTTATATTATCTACAAAGCAGCCATATAACAGACTTTAGTGCGATATGTTTGGGTGAATTGACTGTTTAACCTTGAAATATCCTATTGTTTTTTTATTTATCGCACAATTGTTTAGTCTCGCTTTGATTCCTATGAGCGCACACTACTCGATTTTTAGTTGTGCGACTAAACAGTTGAATGGGCTGTGAAACAATCGACAATCGCACATCAATGATGCGATAGTTTAGTCAATATGTGCACCCGCTCTTATTTTGCTTACATACATCACCAGCTCAGTATAGGTCCCCACCGAGGGGCTCGGAACCTACCCTAATAAGAGGTAACTAGGCCATAGTCAACCACGCTGACCCATTGCGAGTTGGTTGACTTCACACATATCTTTGAATTTCTTCGCCGATATGTGCAGGCATCACGATGTTTTCCTTCACCGTAAGAACGTCGGGTAAATTATGTACATATGAAAATTCGAATAATCGAATAATCGAAAATCACATTGGTACATGGCGGGATTCGAACCCAAGACCTGTAGATTACAAGTCACGTGCTTAAACCACTGAGCCACCGACGCTCTTATTTTGCTTGCTATTTGATAATTAATGTAGCATATTATAGGGCTACATAGGAAGAGGAAGACCGAAGAAAGTGTGGATGGATTGTGTGAAAGAGGATATGCTTAAGAAAGGAGTGGATTTAGATATGACGGTTGATAGAGATGTATGCAGCACATACTCTGTTGACCCTCCATAAGGGATAAGGGCAAGTTGATGATGATTATAAGGCTACATACCCTAAGATGATAGGTAGATTTAAATGACAGTATTCGGCAGATAATAAAATCGCAGTTAGAATTTCTAGTATATTCGATAGGTGGAAGATGTTTAGTATTTTAGTTTGGTTTGAAAAAAGGAACAATATTCTGTTGAGCAAATGTTTTACCGAAAAAAACTGCGTATACTAGATATTTGTTTTCCGTTTAGTTCAGTTTTTTATCTTCGTTACGCGGCGGCACGTTGCCTCGCAAATAACGATACCATACCAATATATTACAATATGTTACCTTTTTGTATCTACACTTTTTGTTGGGTTTTCTATTGATATTTTTTTACTAAGAAAAGTTTCACTAAAACAAGTAATACATTTTAGACTAGATGAGGCACGTGACTTCGCCTTTGAAATTAAAAAAATCATACATAATACAGCTTATGTTACTCACAGATAAACTACCTTTCTAATGGCGAAAGAATTTTTGAATTCGGTCCAGTGGTATGTGTGAATCAAATATATAAAAAAAACGAAAAAAAACAAATTTTCACTCTTAATAGTGTTAGTCAAAATACAGATTAAATCGTAACACCAGTTATCTGGTAGGACGGAAAAGATATAAAAAGAAGAAAGAAAGAAATCAGTTCATTCAAAAAAAAAAAGATATATACTGTCTCTTTCTTTTATTTAATTGTATAATATTATTAGAACATATTGTCGAAGATAGATTTCAAACTATAAGTTAAAGGCGTCATTATTGATACTTTTTGGAACGATTAGAGTAACTGGCAACTAATAATTTTGAGTACTGGCTGAATGTGTATCGTGCAATAGATGTCAAGACGACGATAGAATGACAGATGACAGCTGTCTTTGAATGGTGAAATAAGTCGTTTTGTTATTATAAAATCAATTGGTAAATGTTTTCAATTTGATTAGAGTGTCTTGTGAAGTTATCAATTAAGATAGTGGTAAACTAATGATGGTGTTTTTAATGTTACGCGATTGAGTTTGGAGCTAATATTATTTCATAATCTTCAAACGCACCCCCACAATGGAAGATCGTTACCGTGTTTATGAACCACCCAAGGATTTGAATTCTACAAACCGTTCGTTTACTTCGATTTTTAAATTTTTTAAAACATAAAGTTAAAGAATTTTATGTTTTAAAAAATTGGATTGACTAACAGCCGTAGATCATTCAATGAAATGGATGTAACGTACTGGCCATTTCTTTATAATAATATAATAATAATAACTTTTATGCTTCCTTTGTTTATCTATCAAAACAATTATCTGCTTTTAATCAATTCTTGCCACGTAAACCGGTATATTTATGTGTCTACATGTTGGACGCTTAAACCGTCATCGTATTTGGTTTGCTCGCTACCGCTGCGGTGGGCTCTTATTCCGATCGACAGAATTTGTTAAAACACTGTAATACGTTGCGGCGTCGACGAAAATTCAATTTGCCAATCGACCAACTTGTTTGAGTGAAATTTCGGTGTATTTTCGATTGCTGAAATTACGAATTTTACGATAATCTCATTTAAATGAACTACCTTTTATATAATTATACGATTATTCTGTTAAATTCGTTCTAGAATAGTGTAGAAAAATGTGTTCTACTTTTAATTCTGCTTTTTTTATAATATAAGGTGGCAAACGAGCAAGCGGCCACCTGAATCCACCAAAATAGAAAGTGATCGCTGCCCATAAATATCCGCGTTGCAGATAAGTTGCCAATCCTTAATTGACGGAGGAGAAGACGCACATAAAGAGACCATTTCCCTTTCCTATGAGTCTCCTCCACCGTCAAATCCACTTTTCCTGCCCATCCTTCCCTCTTAAGAAAAGAGTGGAAAGAGTAGGGAACTAAAATTAGGCCTCCGGCACCACACCCATCAGACGAAACGCGGAATTGCTTCCACTTCACGCCTGTTTTCTGTATGGTCGTGGTATTATACCCAATTATGCGAAGATGTTAAAGCGGGCTTTACCACTGTTAATACAATCTTTCTCTAAGGTTCATGAATAAAAAGTATTGAATATAATTTATAACAATTTATTGCATTTAAAACATAACTATAAAAAACATAAAAATTAAAGTTTTTCACCAGTGTGTGCTTACATTATCTGGACAACCAGTTGTGGTATGCTTTAATTTAATTATTCTCTTCTCATCAGAAACTATAACATTATTATCTTTATCGAATGTCAAACTGTAGATGTTTTTGAAATCTAGTACTTTTTTAAATCCTTCATTCTTTAAATCTATAAAAACACCTAAATTAGTGCAAACGTATAAATCACCATCGTTATCTTCGGATATCTGTCTGACAGTCATCACATCATTGATAACGTTAACTCTAAGTCTATCATTATCATAATTATAAAAGCCAGTCTTATTAGCGAAGTAAATATTCTCATGGTCCACAGTTACATGGAAATGGTCCACTTCGAAGTTTTCAAATTCCTTAACCACAGCGAATTTTCCATCGACTTCTATATGTAATCTCTGATCAGGATAACTGATGTAAAAGAGATTCCTTCTAAAGAACAGAGCCCAGATATTTTTACCAGATTCTTTATAGAAATCAGCTAATTTAGTCATCATGTTGTATTTATAAATACCGTCGCTTCCACCGAGATATATTTCATCGTTACCTTGGTCTATCGCTACGGAACAGCCGCCTCTAATTCCAGCTATATTTTGAAACTCTCTGGTCTCTAAATCGATATACGCTAGTTGGAAATCAACGTCTGAATATGTTTCTGGTACAGTGTAACTGAAGAATACTTTGTTTGATGTTTTATGAGCGTAGAGGTTAAAAGGTCGACCCAAATTGGCCCAGAGGATCTCCTTCTCGTACCATCGATCCTGAATTTTTATACTGTTGCAAGTTTTATTTGGTGCGCCTTTTATGCAAACGAGTATGTTCAGTATGATATATATTTTAAAAGTCATCATCTGTGAAGGAATTTTATGGATGTTAGAAATTTTTAATTTAAAATGTATTCGAGGGAGAATTAGAGAGGGCGCACACCTTAGACTAAACAATCGACAATCGCACAACTTTTGTGCGATTGTCGATTGTTTCGCAGCCCATTCAACTGTTTAATACAACTAAAATCGAGTAGTGTGCACCTCCATATAAGTTCATAGGAATCAAAGCGAACTAAACAGTTTAGTCAAAAGTGTGCGCGCTCTTTATGTGGTTTATTGTGGTCTAAACCGTTAACATTATAGGTTACAAATCAGAAAATGTACTGGTCAAAAAGAAATTTAACCGAAACAGAAAATTAAAACTGATAATTTCAAATATATGAGAGAGTTGTACGATAAATTAAAACTACAATTGAATTGAAAAAAAAAAGGAAATGAAAAACCTACAATTTCCGGAATCACAAATACATACCTATTATTTAGTTTTACAAAAACTTTTGTATCATAACTTATTTTTTTTACGAATTTCAATTTTCAACACATGTTTCGATCACTCGAACACAAACCACCAAATGCGTATAATTGTTATTAATTATAATATTGATAAATTACTCTTTAGTCTCATAACAAATTTTGACAATTATTCTCAAATATTATCGTTGTATTGTTCCAAAAACTCTCATCGATTGTTCCATTCAATACGCGTATTGATTCATCTTATGGTTGGTTTTCAATTACGAATTTAACTTTGAATTTAACTTGCTATTATGTGAATGCGATTTTATCTTATAATTATTGGTACAGCAAAGTATTTTGACAAGTGAGATCAAGTAAGTATAAAAGAATCTTATTCATTGAATGCCAAAGATCGTTATTTATTTTTATTAATAAAGCCAGTTACACATGCTCAGTTTCATGACAGTTACAATCCGATTTCCTATAAATCTATATTTATCTGAACGATCTGACTGTTTAGATTCAATTATAATTAAAACTGAGCGTGTGTAGCGGGCTTTAGACAAAGTCATTAAGAGTATAACATTGGATGGATTTTATGACGAATAAGGAAATAAAAAGGGACAAATACTGCCTTTATAATAATGATTGTACAGTCAGCTACATAAATTGTAAATACATTTACAAAACTTAAAAAGCTTGTAGTCTTCAGGTTTAAATATGTATAGATATCAATATTATATTCAATGTTGGAAGCATACAGATAGATATATCCACAAATATTTTTAAAAACGGTAGCGTCAAGTTTATAAAGCATTGTAAATGTGTAGCTGATTGTACAAAAATGTGTTTTGCATAGCAATTCAAAATCTTACCTTTAAATTTCTTCATCTTTCAAGTAAACCAATTTATCATAACAGTATATAGAATTGTTGCTCGGATTCAATCTATAGATATTACTGACATCTGAATAAATTACACGTTCTCGTTCATCAAACGTCATACCAAAACCTTGCTTTATTTTGGCAACACGTTTCACTCTATGGAACGGTTTATCGTCCATATAAATACCATCAGAAGCACAAAAATATACGTCCCCATAGTTATCTTCAATTATCTGTCTAACAATCAAACCATCGTTCAACATAACTGGATATTCATTTGCCTTGTCCACTTTATAAAGTGCTGTTCTATTAGAGAAATATATTTCCAAACTTCTTGATATGAAAAACGTTAAAATCTCAATACCAACAGCTTCCGATACTTGGACGAATCTATCTATTTTGTATACAAATAATTTCTGTGATGGATATTCTATGTAGTAAAAATTTCTACGTATAAAAATCCCCCAAATTGATTTACCATCTTCAGCAAAGAATTGCGCTTGGGTCGACATAAATTTGTATTTATAAATACCATCATGGCCTCCAAAGTATAAGTCATCGTTCTCTGAGTCATACGCTATAGCATATCCTCCTGGTACGCCTGTTATTGAAGTACATTGTTTACTATTTATATGACATGATTTTATACCAAAGTCTATTTGACTTCCAATTTGTATCGTATGACTCAAGAATAAGCGGCCAGTGTATTTGTGGTAAACTAAATTGTACGGTCTACCTAAATTCTTGACGAGTATTTCCCTTTCGTAGTACACATCTTGAAATATCAGACCGTCGCATTTAATGTCACTGTTATTAGATTCTATAGCGGTTGTTGGAGCATATAGTAAAAGTATTAGAAACATTCTGTCATCGATAACAAAGGGATGAAATCTGAAAATTTAATTTAGATTAGTTTGTCTATTGTTTTCATTATTATCAGTACATCAGAGATTAAAATATACAGAGGAGACATTTGAAAGTACACTTCAAATATTTTTATACTAGTTTTCGCCTGCGACTCCGTCCGCGTGGAATTTAAAAATACAAAAATAAGTAGCCTATGTGTTCTTCCAGACTATCCTCTACATGTATGCCAAATTTCATTAAGATCCATTCAGCAGTTTAGGCTACAAACTCTAACAAACATCCATCCATCTAAACTTTCACATTTGTAATATTAAGTATGAAGTATGATAATAACCAACGCCATCTATTGGTAGAATCTTAAAATCAGATATTAATTTTAAATTAATTGCCAATATTATTTATGTTTTGTTTTGTAACACTGTTTAGTTTTTATAATAAAAGATGGAGCTTATTATAATTTTGTAAAATCTTTTATTACATAGCAATATAAGAACATGAAGTCTGATAACTAATATAGTACCGTTTAGAGAAAGTACCGGTGAACAAAATTTATTCACTACGCCTCGTCTATATATTATTATAATGTCTTTGGTATACGTATAAAGACGGACGCATCTTAGCTTAAGTATAAAAAACGCGATTCATCACATTCACGAACATTGTGTTAGAAAAAGTCAATCTACATTACAAGACAAACAATTCCCTTAAGACAGCGATAACTTTGCTATGATTTATACAGACCCTATTCGTCCTCAATCCAAGAGTTTCTCGTCTCCATTGTCGAGAATCTTATTAGCGTAACTTCCATTATCACTCGTAAACTTCAAGATGTTATTGTTGATCAAATAAAAAGAAATGTACTCAAGTTCAATTAGGCGTCTATAGACGTTGAAATAAGAAAGTTTCGTCTACATAATTATGACTACAGTCATCATACCTTATCCTCCCTTAGGGACGATGCACCCTGTTTTCGTTCTTCAAATAACTCTATCATCTATCACCATTCCCTTCTTGATCATATCACCAATCAATCCATCTTTAGGTCTACCTCTACCGTTATACACTCATAAATCATACTAATATTATAAATGTGAAAGTTAAGCCTAAACTGCTGAACGGATCGCAATGAAATCACTCCTCTTTCACACAATCCATCCATACTTTCGTCGGCCTTCCTCTTCCTTTGTAGATATCCGCATTCATTCTTAACACTTTCTGGTTTATGTCCCCATCGTCTTGTCGCATAACATCTTAACCACGCTAAATTTGCTCCTCAATTTCTCTACCACTGGCGCTTTATGACCTTCCCTCATCAGATCTGATAAAACATTGTATGAAAGATCACTTATTTCTATACATTTAACTGTGTTGCCTAAGCCTAGCCTGTCAAGGCTATGTTTAATTGATCTCTGAATTGGTCAATATTTTAAGGCAACGGTTATATTTAAAAACATGTGAACATTCAGCTAATGTATATTATCAGGAAATCTGATTAGGGAAGGTCTAATCTCATCATTAGTGATCTCTATGGGGTTTATGATTTTAATCAATGTTTGAACTACTTACTTGCGTTTTTTGGCGTACTTAGAGCTAAAAAAACCCACAATCACTGTTGCTAAATAGTCCGATAAATATGGTTGCACAATGGATGTGTTTACTCGTTTCGGTAACAATTGGTAATGCTTGTTTTGAACGCTGTCGTACTATTGAGTATGATGGCATAAATCAACTATCGTAGTACACAATATCGTCACTATAATAACAGTACACAATTAGACATAGGCTTAAGTTTTTTAAACAATAAAACGGACGTTTATCGCCAAAATAGTTTAGTTATGCATTTGCGGCGTTGTCTACCTTTAGAGCACGTATACTTTTGACTAAACTATCTCAAAGCTTGCGTTTTGATTTCTATGAATATGGAGGTACACTACTCAATTTTAGTTGTGCAACTAAACAATCGGCTGCAAAACAATCGGCAATCGATAGTTTAGTCAAATATGTGAGCCCACTCTTAATCAACAGACAGAATGAACAGAAAGATGATTTACGTCTATACGTCCCCTGACAAACCCACGTCCCCTTACCTTGTACGGAAAGGGTGGAAAGGAGAAGAGGACTATAGTTAGACCACCTACTCGCAAATTTATCAAACGAAAGGCATTGCTACCACTAGACGCTTGTCATGTGTGGTCGTGGTATTGTGAAGGACGAGCATGCCCATTCGCGCAGTTAAAGCAGACTCTACCACTGAACAAAGTATAAAAGAATGTACATCTAATAAAGCATAAAACACTCACATTCCTCTCTTATTATTTCCATCGTCAAATCCCATTTCCTTTTCACACTTATAAAAGAATTTTGCTTCCCAACCACAATCTGACGATGTGTAAAAATATTTCCACTTCACGCCTGTCTTCCGTGTCCGTTACTGTCGGCTTCGTATTACAAAATTTAAAGTCAAATATTCTATTTTACTAGTATCTTCATTCTTTTGGTGTAGTATATTTTCCTTAAAGAACACCCTGTAGCTCGGCTTACAAGTATGTATGCCATTACCGAGAGCTTAGCTTCGGAATTTATAAATTCCAAGCGAGCTACAGTATGTTGAGAAAATCGCGGAGTCTTTTAGAATTTCCTGCAGCACCTTCCGGCGAGGAATTCTTTAATTAATTTCGCTTTGTTTTAACGCATCCTTATCGTATCGTTTTAATTAAAGCGTTTGTAAAATTTTAATGGATCTCACTTCTGTCTCGTTTATTTTTCTATTCATATTTAGTTAGCATTTAACGTCTCAATTTTATAAATTAACATGTACTGTTAAAGTTTGATGGCATGTTATTAGAAGGAGTTAATCATATGTAACAAGGAGAACGTTATAAGTGTGGAAGTGTACACCGGTAGAGGTAGACATAGAAAGAGATTGCGTGAAAGGTGACATGATAAAGGAGTGATGACTGAATTGATGTATGATAGTTATGTGGAGGACAAAAACTTGCTGCGCCACTACGGAAGTAGGATTGGAAGATGATGAACTGGTTCATGTTAATCAAAGTTAAATAGTACAGGTTTTTAGCAATGAAAACATGAATAATTAAGAGAGTTGTTTGTGTAATGCAAAAATGTAAAGAAAATTACATTTTAACTATAACAGATGTAAAATGAACAAGTTTTAAAATAAATGAGTGTGAGGTCACGCGCGGGGACTGCGGAAATTTACTTAGACTGAATCATCTTTTTCATTTCCGTTTGCCAAACTAAATTTACATAAACATTTGTACTGAAGAAATTTTGATAAAAAATGTTACTATCTCAAATACTTAGAGAAGTTCAATGAATATAGTAAGACCCTAGAAGTTACTTAAACAGAGAAATCTACATTAAGATTATGGATTATTCCCAACCGTCACCCGCTCTGTCCCCACGCGGAGACAGATAAGAATAAAAAGTTTCATCGGTCCTACCTTTTGCGACTTGTGGTCAGTTGGAACTTATTCTATTTCTTAACAGTTCCATCTGTCACCTTATTGATGATAGTGGGACTGAAAGGTGGGATGTATGAAACTTTGTTACCACGTGGGGACAGGGCGGGGTGACGGTTTGGAATAATCCAAGAATCTCGATTAAAACATTAGACATAATAAATTAGAATGGTGTCCAGTAATAACCAAATATAAGGCCTAGTTAATCTCACTTTTTACTAATGTTTAAGTTTGGATGGATGGATGTTTTATAGAATTTGTAGCCTAAACTGATGAACTGTTTTAGATGACATATCACAGATGTAGAGGATAGTCTGTAACTCATAACTGATTACTTTCGTTTTTTTTTTAATTCCACGCGGTTTGAGTCATTAAAAAAAGATTAGGTATATATACTAATATTATTAGTTAAAATTGATAAGGGATAGTGTTTTTATTAACATTTAAATTCAGTTTTTTAAACAGTATTTTTTATATAGAAAAAGTATTTATTTTATGTAATTTCTGTTCCTATTGCTTCTACCATTCTCAAGCGAAGCGGCAAAGAAAGCACGTAAGGAAAAGGCACTTTATCAATAGAGGAAACTTGTAAAAGCTCGACAACTTCATACGTGTCAAAGCTTTCAAGCTCCTTTCAATGTAATAAGTTTAAAAAGGTAACATTTTACAAACTGTTCCTGTGTTAACTGTGTGACATTTCGATTTATTTTCAACTCTAACACAACTGT